ATTACCATCTACAAAAATTCTAAATGAAAAAATCAAAAATGGTTATTGGGATCGCACTCCAGAAGAAAATTATAGATTAGAAATGATTAAAAATAATTTCAATCCTGATACAAAGAGTTTAATGGAAAGAAAAAAAGAAATTATGTCTAAAAAAGATGATTTTTCACCATTAAAAATATAATTTTTTCTTTTCTTTTAATTTATCTGTTTATTTGTAATTAATCATAGTCTTTAAAAATAAAAATTTTATAATTTTAAAATGAATTTATTTTCTCAAACTAAATTAACATTAAAATTAAAAAAGCAAAACAGTAACAGTACACTATCTAATGTTTCTACAAAGTAAATAGACCAGTTTATTTTGTRTTATTTATGAAAATAAAGGCACTTGGTTATCTTCCCACTGCTTGACTGTATACATTGGTGATCAAATAACAAATTTCAGGATTAATATTTGAACACAAAATTGTTATCTATAAACATAATTATGTGCTTTCTGACTGTTTCAAACGTTGGCAAAAGTGAAAGTAGACTTCTCAAAAAACAAGATGAGATTAAATAATACTTTAAATACAATACAAGTTTTATTTTATTTTTTCTTATCAATTTTTTTTAGATTTTTTGACTATATTATTTTCATCATAATCACATTCACATTAAATTTTATATCTTTTTAGTATTGGAATTATAGCAATAGTTAATTAGTTAACCCAAAAAGCCTGAAAATATTGATACCAGTGAGCCATGGGAAAATAACCAAAATAAATTTAAGCTCCAAAATAATTTTAATAATTTTACTTTTTTCAGTAAATGTCAAGATTTAACAACTASTGATTCTGTAAAATCTGAATATAATAATTTACCAAATAATAGTATGTTATCTGAAAATGATAGTTTTATAGAAATGTTGCATACTGTTCGTCCTCAGGATGAAAATATAACTATGTCACAAAATGTTTTTAAGACATCTCCAGTTCAAAATGTATCTGATGTCATAAATGAAAGTAAACAATGTCCAGTTTGTTTACAAATTATTGATCTTAAGCATTTTATTAACCATGTAAAATCTTGTGGTACATCACATAATTTATCATCTGAAGTACTTATAAAAGCTGTGGATCTTCAAGAGCGCCAAGCAGTTGAAAGAGAGGCGCTAGGATTACCTAAATTGACAAAAAGTAAAGATGTTAAARTTAAAAAAAAGAATACAAAACAAACAAAGTTAAAGGTATAATATATTTATATTTGATTTATCAAATATAATAGTAAAATTACTTTCATTACGTTTTAGATTGGAAGTGATTCTAATTTTGATTTGGCTATTGCTATGTCTATGTCCTTACAAGAGTCTAAGGAAGCTGAAATTATAAAAGAATCTGAAAACCTTTTAGAAGCAGGCTTAGAAACCGAGGCCATAGAAAAAAGGAAGACATTGGAAAGCTTTGGTTTTATATCAAATCAGCCAATTAAATCTAAATCTAAAAATTGTTAGTATTTATTTATAAATATAAGCTTATATAATTAATTTTAGACAAATATTACTTGATAAGTTCACAGTTTTTT